GCAGGGGTCAGGCCTGAATGAGATGGGCGGGTACTGCTCACCTTCACGAAACTCATTCGAATAGTGCACATTTTGGTGAGTTCATACACGGTCTCAAAACCATGGTTCACAGACTGTGCCAGTATCTGAGCAAACTCTTGGTTGTTGAAAATTTTCACGCTACACCCACTGGGGATCTTGCAGACAGTGGTGGGATGAAACCCATGATGGTAGTTGCAGTTCCGACTCTGCACAAAGATGCTGCTGTCACTCAGGCATTCGGCATACACTTCTCCTCCAACATAGAACAGGTGGACACCTGTGAGAGGACAGACCATGTCAGTCATAGGCTGAAAGGCACCCAGGCAGAGTCAAATTTGGCCACTCACATAGCCATTCTGACAGACATCTAGCTAACTATGTTATGCTTGTGATAACCAGTGTGTTTAGGAACAAACAAGTCTCTCAAAAATAATAATGGTTGACATTTTCATTTTGGTATTTAATGTCCTGCTTAACCAGAGTTGAAAGTATATGGACACTCTAAAAATAGAGCAATATAAAACCTGTAGTTTACTGGGGTATCCTGTCTTCTATATTTATGCCAAGGTTAAATTGTTCAGAAAACTTCAGATAGAGAGAAGGGATGATCAATAAACAGGGAGGAGTTGAAACCCGGGTTGAAGAATTACTGCTGGAAGCAGTAAGACATGAGGTCTAGTTAAAAGCAGACACCTTTTAAATAGAAAAAGAGTACTGGGTGAAAAAGGAGCTCACTGAAATAAGCACTAAAAGCAATAATTGAAAATTTCTTATAACTTAGAATGCTGGGAAAATCCCCTCCTATTAAAGCTGGAAGAAGGAATGAACCAATTCTGCAAATTTGTCCTCTGACTGCTGTGTGCCCCACTATCAACACAAAATAACAAAGGCAAATCTTCAAAAAGGAAGATGGACCCTCTGGCTAAGCCTCACGAGGAAGGAAGAAGAGGCTAGCAAGCAGGCAGCTAGTGTGACTTTGAGTCCTGAAGGTGACCCTGGAAAGGCTTAGTAGAAAACACTAGTGTGACTGTCTGAGGAAACACCATGTGGCAATTCTACAGACACACAGGGCTAAGACTCCAGTGCCAGATCTACCCACTGTGGCAGAAATCCATTTTGTTTAGTGATATACAGAGATATATTTAAGAACAAAATTATAAAAAAAATCTTTTTAAGAAAAAAAAAAAACCCTTTCCCTG